TTGTTGTTGTTAGTGTCGTCGTCGTCGTTGTTGTTGTTAGTGTCGTCATCGTCGTCGTTTCTTGCCGTATTCGTATTCGCGGGTATTTAGCGCAGCAGGTAATTATAATTATCTCTGTGTAATTACAGACTCGGGAGTTGCATCACTAATCAGCATTCTAACCGGAAATCCTTCGTCGAAATCCAGTAACTTTGGAGAGATCATTGTAAACGGAAACAGGTGTGTATAGGTACCGTAATGTACTGTACTGTACTGTACTGTACTGTACTGTACTGTACTGTACTGTACTGTACTGTACTGTACTGTACTGTACTGTACTGTACTGTACTGTACTGTACTGTACTCTACTCTACTCTACTCTACTGTACTCTACTCTGCTCTACTCTGCTCTACTTGTTTCCCCTCACCTTCCCTCACCTCACCTCACCTCACCTCACCTCACCTCACCACACCTCACCACACCTCACCACACCTCACCACACCACACCTCTACTTTCCAGGGTACGTCTGCGTGAACTGCGGAGCATGGTGGCGTACATGAGAAGCGATGACGCCCTGATTCCCTACCTCACCGTAGAACAGTTTCTCACGATGTACGCGCGTCTGAAGTACGCCAGCAATACGTCGATGCAGGAGAGGAAACGAACGGTGAGCTGCGCCAGGGGGCGCCTCTGACCGATCACTGCGCATGCGCGCGCATCGACGTCATCCCCAATCACGTGACGGAAAGTCCAGATTATTGCGGGCTGGGAGTAACGAGAGAGAAATAATTAGAGTTGATTAAGTAATCGAGTTATTAAGTGTGATTGGGAATCTCTCCTTTATTGATGACAGTTATCTCGGGTTCTCCGAGGTTTCTCCTTGTGGCGTTTTTGGTTTGTAATTAATTATAAATAATTAATTGCTTCTGCTCTTAGATCGACTATTTCTTGGAGAACGCGAGACTGCACCAGTTTCGCAAGCGTCTTATCGCATCGTTGGCTGTAGACCAGCGCAAGTTACTGCAGCTCGTCTGTCAGCTAATGCTAGACACAGGTAAAAACTCTATCGGTGACAGTCTAGAATCTAGATGCTTGTCTACTAGCTGGGTACGTCTACCAGCTAAGTAAACCCATGCAACTCTTATGTAATAGCAAATTCTAGTAGCTCGTAGAAAGGTGATATTTTGGGAGAGGAAATAGAGAGGACATATATAACGCAGCGGTGAGACAGAATAAAGAAACACTGGTGTCTTTCTTTAGTAATTGCATGGCGCCAGTTTTCCCTAGCGAATGTAACACAATTAATATTTAAGTCAGCCAATAGGTGGCGGTATGTGTGTCATAAATGACGCATGCAGCTGCATTTCCCCGCTTTTATCAAACGAATGAAATAGTATTTGATTAAAATTGTACTTTTAATTGAGAGAGTGAGGGTAACAGCCTTGGTTGTCATCGTGTGACGTCACTCTAATTAATTCACGCCTCGCGTCGTTAGATTTCATCGTACTTGAGGAGCCGACGTCAGGATTGGAACCTTCGTGGGCTCGCTTCGTCATCGAATATATGCAGGATTTCGTCGCTAGAGGGCGCATCGCAATCATGACGATCAATCAGCCGACGTTTGACATGTTCAAGTTCTTTACGAAAGGTGCGACAGCGATGGAAAATAATAATACTGCATGAAGTTTTCTGAGCAGTGCGTGCTCTCTCTCTCTCTCTCTCTCTCTCTCTCTCTCTCTCTCTCTCTCTCTCTCTCTCTCTCTCTCTCTCTC